GCGAGTTTGACAAGGGCCAAATTGTGATGGCTAGACGACTGGGTCGGAGCATCTCCAAAACTGCAGCTCTTGTGGGGTGTTCCCGGTCGCTGTGCGGCGGTTGTGTGTGTGTGTGTGTGTGTGTGTGTGTGTGTGTGTGTGTGTGTGTGTGTTGGGGTGTGAAAGTTGTATTTGTTCTATGTTTTGTGGTGTTCCTTTTTGGATAGCATAACAAAATCGAATAAAAAATAATATAAGAAATTACCTTCAATGTGCTTTGTATGTTTTTTATGAAATGTGTACAATCTTTGTCTCAGCCTCAGAGCAGGTTCAGGTTGAGCCGGTGGGTCGCTGGTTCGAGGCGTTTCTGAAGCGCAGGAGTCGAAATGTGTCGGCCTCGTTTCAAGAGCTGGAGGAAGAGGAGGAGCTGTCTGAGGAAGAGGAGGACGAGGAGCTGCAGCTGGAGGAGTATCCCATGCTAAAGACACTGGACCCCAAAGACTGGAAGGTGTGTGTCGACGCTCTTCTGTCTGTCAGAGCTGAGAGACGCTGGGAACTGAATGCATTGACACGCTTTTCTTGATGTTACAGAACCAAGATCACTACGCTGTTTTAGGTCTCGCACACGTCAGGTACAAAGCAACCCAGAAACAGATCAAAGCTGCTCGTAAGTTTGAGTTTGGAAATCATTGTATAATGCTGCTCAAAGGTTTAGAATAATTAAGATAATGTGAAAGCTGTCTCTTCTGCTCAGCAAGGCTGCATTTATTTGATCATAAATACAGTAAAAATTGTTAGATATTAATACTATTTAATATAGCGGTTTTCTATGTGAATATCTGTTAAACTGTAGTTTATTTCTGTGATTTAAGCTGAATTTTCAGCATCATTACTCCAGTCTTCAGTGTCACTCCAGAAACATTTCTGATTATCAATGTTGAAAACAGTTGTGTTGCCAAATATTTTTGTGGAAACCGTGATAAACTACCTTTCAAAAGTTTGGGGTCAGAAAGATTTTTTATTTTTAAAGTAACTCAAAATTAACTGAACTCAAAATGATTCAGTTCATTCATGATTTCCACATTGATGATAATCAGAAATGTTATATATATATATATATATATAATTAAAAACTCATTCAAAATATTATAAAAAAAGTATTTCTCAACAATACTAAAATATTACTGTTTCCTTTTTGTACTTGTGGTATTTGTCTAAAACTTTAAACCAAAAATATTAAAACTAAAACTATAATAGTATCTCAGTTATACTAAAATGACACTGTTTTGTTTTTGTGCTTTGTGGTGTCTGCGTGTGATTTTGCTGCGTGTCTGTCAGTCGTGATGAGAGGAGGTGGATTGAGAAACAGAACCGAGCCTCTCGAGCTCAGAGGAAGAAGGAGGAGATGAACAGGATACGGACGCTCGTTGGTAAGTTGTGTATATATATATATATATATATTAGGATTTTTGGTTTTGATCCACTTGAAATGTTGACTAGTGTATATGGATATTTCTGCATATGTTGTCTGTAAGCGACTCTCTCTCGTTGCTGTATGTGTGCAGGCGCGTCAGGCGGAGGAGGAGGCGGCGCGGATGCGGAGGGAGAAGGAGGAGGAGGCGGTGCGACAGGCGGCACAGCAGGCCAAGAAAGAGAAAGAAGCCCAGAAGAAAGCCATCAAGAAAGAGCGGCAGAAGCTCAGGACGACCTGCAAGGCAGGAGACCCTCCACACGATCTCACACTTATTCAGCTCTCCGAGAGCTTCCCGTCCTCATCTCTGTCTCTCTGCTTCTCTCAGACTCACAGCTACTTCACAGACAATGAAGCCGACGGCGTCAGGATGATGGAGGAGGTGGAGAAACTCTGCGACCGCTTGGAGCTGACCAGGTGAAGCCTGCAAATATAATGTTGTTTTACTTCTCAAACACAGCTGCATGTGAGAGGAATATTGAGGTTTTTGGTTTGATTTGTAGTTTGCAGACGCTGAATGAAGCTTTGGCCTCTGGGAGTAAAGAACAGAGTAAAGCGGCTCTGGAGAATCAGGTGAGAAACAGAAACCGGTCAAAACGCTCCCTATTTACACTCTTTGCTTTGTTGAGCTATAAATCTGTGGTGCATGTACACTTATTTATAAAGTATAAATTGTGAAATGTTATTTTAATTGAAAATAACTATGTGAGTTTTCTATGTGAATATCTGTTAAACTGTAATTTATTTCTGTGATCAAAGCTGAATTTACTGCAGTCTTCAGTGTCACATGATCTTCAGAAATCATTCTAATATGCTGATTTGCTGCTCAAGAAACATTTCTGATTATTATCAGTGTTGAAAACAGTTGTGCTGCACATATTTTTGTGGGAACCGTGAGAGATTAAATTTTTTTAGGATTCTTTGATGAATATAACATTCTAAAGAACAGCATTTATTTAAATATGAATAATAATACTAATAATTATCATTTATTACTAATAATAATAAATACAATTGACAAATCTAATTAATATTATTATAATTAATATTATAATATCAGTAACATACACTCTTATTATAATGAGCTGATTAGCTGATTACCAAAGCATTATTTCACATAATGACAAAAAAATAATTTAAGCAATAATAAAAATGATTAAGGTAGAATTAGAATAAGGTGCCAAGTAAAAATATTTTTATAGAATTATATTAATAACATTTTGAAAATAATTATAATGAATACATTTTAAAAATATAATATTAATAAGAATATTTAGATTTTTTTTAAAATGGGAAGTTCAAAAGAACAGCAAAAATACTAATAATATTACAATTATAAAAATTATTTAATATAATTTTTTTTTTATTATTATTATTATTTGGAAACCATGATAATATTTTTTAGGATTTAAAAAAAAAAATTATGACTAGAAAGTTAAAAAGAACAACATTTTATTTGAAATATAAATAAAAAATACTGCTAATAATGATTAGTTTTACATTTACAAAACAAATATTATTTAATAATTTGTTATTAATAATAATAATAATAATAATTATCACATTTGGTAACCATATAGTTTAATATATTTTTAGGATTTTTTGATGAATATAAAGTTCAAAAGAACTGCATTTATTTTAAATCTAAATCTTTAGAAACATTGAGTTACTTTACTGCCACGTTTGATTAATTGAATGTGTCGCTGCTGAAGAGAAACTTCTGAATGGTCCTGTAAGTTGCTCTGAGGTTTTAGTTTGTGTGCTTGCAGGTGCAGGAGGTGAAGGATCAGATGCAGAAGGAGAAGGAGGCGGAGATGCAGGCGCAGCAGGCGGCGCGTGGGGCTGAACACACCAGCGCAGGAGGAGGAGGAGGAGGAGGAGGAGCCAATAACAGAGGCTGGAATGAGGAAGACCTGCAGCTGCTCATCAAAGCCGTCAACCTGTTTCCCGCCGGAACCAACGCCAGGTGAGTCTCCATGGAAACCATCTGCTGTATCACAGACTGTACGGATGATCCCGTGCTCCTGACTGAAATGTGCTGTGATCGGACAGGTGGGAGGTGATCGCCAACTACATGAACCAGCACTCCAGCAGCGGCGTGAAGAGAACCGCCAAAGACGTCATCAATAAAGCAAAAACACTGCAGAAGCTGGGTACGTAACTGCGGTTTGGGTTTATGCCGTACACAGGATTGAAGTAGTACGGCTAATTCGCTTTTCTTGACGACAGATCCTCACCAGAAAGATGAGATTAACCGAAAGGCCTTTGAGAAGTTCAAGAAGGAGCATTCAGTTGTTCCTCAGACTGTAGACAACGCTGTGCCATCAGAGAGGTTTGATGGTAAGTTTCACGATAATGGTTAAACGGTTAATCATGAATATTGATATGGTAGAATTAGAATAACAGGGTAGTAAATAATATTTTGTTTTCTACTTATACAATAATTATTATTATTATAACAACATGATTATTATTTAAAAAGAAAACATTATTTACCACTACTATTATTATTATTACTACTATATTATTATTAATCATTTTTTTATATCTTAATATTAATTATAATAATTACAATTATAATATCCATAAAATACTCTTATTATAATGCAAGCTGATTGCCAAAGCATTTTTACACAATACAAATAATGACAATTATTCATATTTTAATATTAATTAATAAATTAATACTTCTAGCAGGGTTTCCGTGAGTGCTTAAAAGTCTTAAAGTCTTATATTTAGTTGTATCAAATTTAAGGCCATTAAAAAGTCTTAAATTGTACAAGAAAGTCTTAATTATGATTTTAGGAGGTCTTAAATTTGGGGACAGAAAGACCAGAATTGCTATATGGCTTAATGTGACGATTAAACTTCAAAAGGCGATGATTTCATGAAATAAACACGAGTGCGGAGCCTTTCAGAGTCAGGTGCTGCTGCTGTGTGTTCTGCTGTTACCGCGTAACCGTTCTATTTCTGCCATTTATATAAACGGCAGATATAGCTGTTTTTCTATATTTTCTAAATATTGTATTATACATTGTAATTATTATTAATAATTATAATTATTTTATAATACTTATTATATCTGTAACACACACTTTTATTGTAATTCAAGCTGATTAGTAAGGTAGAATTAGAAAAAGGTGCCAAGTAATTAATTAAATATATTTTTTTATAATAATAACAATAAATTATGAATATTAATTATACTGATTTTTAATTATAATTATTAATATATCCATATCACACAATAAGGTGCCAAGTAATTAATAAAATATTTTTTATTAATATTAATAATAAATTAAAAATACCTAAATTATAATCATATTATAATGTCTTTGGCACACACTTTTATTAACGAGGTCGAATTAGAATGATGTGCCAAGTAATTAGCATTTTGAAACAAAAGATTGTTTTTTATAATATTCCTAATAATAATAATAATATTATATAATTATGTTCCTGTGGCTCAGTGGTAGAGCATTGCGTTAACAGCGCAAAAGGTCGTGGGTTCAATTCCCAGGGAACACACATACTGGTAAAAAATATATAGCCTGAAGCTTTGGATAAAAGCGTTTGCAAAATGCATAAATTATTGTTATTAGTATTATAATGTCTGTTACACTTATAATGCAGGCTAATTAATAGTCATGATTATTTTGTAAAAATAAATTAAGATTAAACCACTGGGCAGAAAATCTATTGGTTTATGAAAAAAGCTCTGATTGGGGGATTTAAACTCTTGGCATCTGGCAACCGCAGCCACGAAAGCTTGTGGAGGCTTCTTACCATTGCAAAATGCAAATGATTACGCTTAAATCGAGAGAAGCATAAATGGTGATCATGATTAAAATATGATTTATCCTGCAGCAGTGCAGTCCTATGAGTCATCACAGTATATGTGCTGCAGAAACAGTCCCATTCTGAACATAATTGTTTCTTCCAGCTGTAGGCGCTGAATCCAACTCCTCCCCCTGGACCACAGAGGAGCAGAAGCTTCTGGAGCAGGCGCTGAAGACGTACCCGGTGAACACGGCGGAGCGCTGGGAGAAGATCTCTGACGCCGTGCCCGGACGCTCCAAGAAAGACTGCATGAAGAGATACAAGGTGAGCGGCTCCGGTTGAGCTTCTGCATCATTCATCAAAAACTGACAGGGTTGTGCAACACAAAAAAAACTAGGGCTGGGCGATATAGCTAAAAAATGTATCAACGATATAATGTTTCATATCGTTCGGTATCGATAATTATTGACTTTTTTTTTTTACACCAAGAGCAATAGAATTTTTTTTTTAATTTAACCACTGTATTTTTAAATTAACCCAATTTATTGAGACAAACAACAAATATTTTTTGTTTTTAACAATCGAACACAAAATAAAAATTAAATATCTAATTTCTAATGTTTATATGCAGATTAAATAGGTCTTAAAGAAACTTGTCTTGTCTCCCGAAGCCACAGGAGGGCGCAATGAGCAAAATAATGCAGCATATTTAAATTGTCAACGCAAGGAAGTAACTCTATTAAAAAAACATGCATTACATCTAAATTAACTCATAAAAATCAAATATAATTTAGTAAATTGCATAATTATGAACAAAACAGCATCATGTATTTATGCATTGGTTAATCCAAAGAGCCGAAGCGCCATTCACACAGATTGCCTTTAAAAACATATGAGATGCAGTGAAACGGAATAAACCTCAACAAATTCGTGACGTGTTTTCTAAAAGTTTAAACTGTTTTAACTTTGCATGGCTTTCTATACATCTCTTCTGTGAGACGTGAGTGCAGCAGTCATATTTATCCGACTTAAAAATGTGCTGAATATGCATCTGTGTGAATGGCTTGGTTTCGGTTTTAACCTAATCAAGATCTTCTCCGTATTGAGCTTCTATATTTCTCTAATATTTTGAATGAATAACGCAGCAGCGGCGCGTCTCGTGGGCTAGACTTATAAAACATTCAAATGCAACAATGTCGCTTACATCATCATCACCGCATCTCGTGCTCCACTGATGACGCTCCCTGACGCACACCTAACATTCATTGTACTATTTTTGCCTTCAAATGCAAATGTTTATTTTAAATTCGACTCATCACAGGCAGGCACAGCACTCATGTTCCTGTTTGTGTGTGCTGTCTGCGTCACTCATAGCATGTGCCTATATCGTGCACTATATCGAACAAAAAAAAAAAACCCCCCCCCCCCCCCCAATTCAAAGTACTATTTTGCCATAACTGTCAACATACAGCATTGCCCAAGAATTAATACACAGAACAAAGAAATAAGCAAAAACAAATATAAATAAGGTAGAATTAGAATAAGGTGCCAAGTATGCAAGATCTTTATTATAAAACTATTAAATTAGTTATAATAATAATACTAACAACGATAATAATCATAATTATTATTAATTAGTACAATTAAAAATAACTACTACTTATGGATATAATTATTATAACATTTATTATAATGCAAGCTAATTGCCAAAGTATTACAGAAATAAATATTAAATTAGAATAAGATGCAAAGTAATAACATTTTCTAAATAATAATACAAATTATTATTATTTAGAGAAAAATTTAACAATTATTATTATTTAAGTATTAAGTAATCTATTACACTTAATATGATTAATGTAGAATTAAACGAGGTGCCATGTAATTACAAAAATGCATTTATTAAATGGTTGTAGTAATAAATTTGATGTCTGTAACACACTCTTATTATAATGCATGCTGATTAATAATGTAGTTTTAGAAGGTGCCATTTAATTAATAAAAAAAACTTTTTAATAGTAATTATTAATGTTTATTGTTATTAATTAATAACATTAATAGTAATAATTATTATTAATAAAATTAAAAAATATCTTATAACATTGTGTGTAACACACACTCTTATCATAATGTAAACGCTGATCTCCACGTGCAGATGTTGATGTGCTTCTCTCTCTGTGTTTCTGCAGGAGCTGGTGGAGATGATAAAGGCTAAGAAAGCCGCCCAGGAGCAGGTCACTGCTAAAAACAAGAAATGACAAAAGTGCTGCAGGGAAAGAAAACACACACAAACTTGGTCTTTTAACTTTATTGTGTTCTTCTTTATTTTATATTAAAATAAACATGAAAAAAAGCACATCCTAAATTCTCTTGTTTGTGACTGTTAATGCGCAGACGCTGTACTGCTTCACTTCCTCACGGCCGAAACCAATGCATGCCGCTGCGGATGCGGTTATAGTCCGGGAGCTGCTCGATCGGACCTGCAAACATCAAGTATTTGCTTATCAGTCACTGAAAGCAGCATTTCCCATCTCGCTGCTCTCTTTCAGGTCCTGGAGTGTCTACTAACCAGCTGATGAGTTTAATCGGGTGTGTTTGGTTATGAAGACCCTCCAGGACCAGAGCTGGGAAAATATCAGATATTATAGAGAAAATATGAATACTCACCAACAGCTGCTATAGCAGGAGCTTTATTATAGATGTATTTCATACACACGTCTTTGATGGTTGTGGCGTCTATGGCCTGAGAGGAGGAGAAGCAGAATTGAGACTAAAGCTCTGTTCACACGCTGATAGTTTCTCACAGTGGAAGGTCATTTCAGCATTTACAGGGGCGAGTCTGATTTATTTATTTGATTAGATTTTTTAATTGCTGTCCGAATCCCAAATGACTTCCACCGCCCACATAAAAATTCCTGACCAAATAACATACCGTTTTTTTTTTTTTTTGAAATACGGACACGGTTTACAAGAATAATACTGTCACTACAGTAAGTGGGAGCTTTTAAGAAAAAAAACATAAGCATTTGAATAAATATTATTATTATGGTAAGCAAAAATGTTAAAATATTTATATTAAGTCCTGCATAACCAATTATACGAGGCGAAAAAGTAGCTGGGTCATATACTTCATGTAAATAAGAGTTTGCATTAACTTATTTCTGCTAATTTTTTATATTTTTAAAATAACACTTCATTTTGAGAGAAAAAAATGCAAGACAGAAAACCATTTAAATAATGTCATGTAATTTTCCCTATTTTTAATAGAAAAACTAAAAGGAATAATTAAATGATAAATAGGATATTATTTTTCTATTGTTAAATTAAATATAAATGTTACTGTACAAACAATAATAGACTTTTTACCTCTTATTTACTAACTTATTTCTGCTAAATTCCACATTTTTATAATGACGACGTCCATTTTGAGAGAAAATGCAAGACGATTAAACCAAAGTCAGTTTCCTATTTTTGAACAGTATATTTAAATCAAATATTATTTTCATATTGTTAAATAATAATTATAATTAATTGTCCAAGCAATAACAGACATTCTGTTTGCAGATCACAGTCAGACCATGTAATAAACACATTCCCGTGTTTGCAGGATCATAAAACTCGCTTGTCCACCGTGAATAAACTGAATGCATGAATTTTAAGCAATCGTATTTTTACTCGTGTCTGGATAAGGCTATAAAAGCACTTGACTGGGTCAGGTCAAAGGTCAGCATGTACATTTACTCACATCTATTCTGGCCTCCAGCTCGTGCAGAGGAATCCTGCGGCTGTAACACAGCATCTGCCGGCCGATGTCCTCACAGATGGGAGTGGATCCTAGACACCACAAACACGCCAAAACTGATCACTTTATTCAGGGTTTCTGTGGGCCTTAAAAAGTCTTAAATTGCCCTTCCACAAAATAAAGTCTTACATTTGTAACGTTACAGCATTAAATGTTGCACGCACTTGTCAGTATTTTTGTCTTGTTTTCCAGTACAAGTATCTAAACATCCTTAAATCAAGATACATTTACTTGAGATGCAAACGAAGATATGACGTGTTGTTTTTTGAGAAATTACAATTTAGTGAGTTTATGCTTAAAACAAGAACAAATATCTGTCAATGGGGTTTAAAAACTTGTTTTCCTTGAATTAAGTTGACTCCATTGGCAGATTAAAAAAAAAGAAATTGATACATTTCTCAGAAAACGACACACAGTATATATATATATATATATATATATATATATATATAATTTTTGCATCTATCTTTAAGAAAATTTGGACATTTGCACTGGAAAACAAGACAAAAAAATTTTTTGCAGTGTGATCAGAAGTTAAAGTAAACGTTATTTCTATTTGTCATGTCTGTAAAATTAATAAAGTAATGGAGATCTCTTGGAAGTTCCAAGAGAAACATTCATTCAGAGAACATATTGATGAATTGTGTTCCCTGTTTATTGCTCGCCGCTGCTCTTACCGTCCAGGTGAAGCAGCATGTTTGTCTTCAGCAGGTTTTTGGCTCGGTTCACCTCGCTTTCAGTCACGCTCGTACACAGAGACATCCTAAAGGAAACCGGGTGTTAGTTGCTCATCTTTCATCTCGACAGAAAGCCCAGTGAACGTGGAGCTCTCACCATTCCAGCTGCGTGAAGCGCATCATGTCGCTGACGGTTCCCGGTTCGCACACCATGTAAAGCCCCCACAGGCCCGTGTCGGTGTAGCAGGTGTTGAAGGACTGGAAGCTGTGGCACAGGTTCCCCTGACACGCCATCTGGGCCAGCTTACCGGACAAGTTCTGACGGAAAACAAGGTGCGGTTAGTTGTGTTTCGGGTCTTTTTCAGCGTAACGGTTTAGTGAAAGCACCTCCTACCATCCCGCCGCCGAGCGAGCGATCCCAGTTCCCGATGAGCGTGTTGGCCACCATGAGCGGGATAGTGTCTGGATGCGACCAGCCGACAGCCTCCATGGCGATGGCTATATGAGCCAGAGGCATCTTATCATCTCGCACACGGATCTGTGAGGAATCGAGAGCACAACTCCAGGTATGTTTTGCTTATTTAGTGTGTTTGTGCACGAGTTCAGCTGCCTTAAATGCCTCGTTTGTAGTCCTACCATTATTTCAGTTTATTAATGAAAATAAACCTAAATAGTAATATTTTTAAAAATCTAAATCTAATTAAATTAACAAAAGCACATCATAAAAAAATGTAAACAAAAGAATTTGAACCTGGTTTCATCCAATGTTCAGATTTATGTTCTATGAAAATTAGTGCATATAATAATTATATAATGCCCTGTTTTTATATATTAAACATAACATTTCAGAAAACTTGTAACTTGCTTTAATGAACAAGCATTTTCAGCAACAAGCTATAAGGAAGTTGGATCATCATCATTAACAAAACTATGAAAAACATTTGTTAATTGAATTAAGGCTACAATAAAATAATTATTAGATGAAAAACTTAATGAGAAATGTTGCCTTAGCAACTAAATGAATTAAGTTTAAGCACTAAAATTACTAAATGGAAATGAAAACTAACTAAAATAAAAATAAATTGACTTGGCTTTTCAGAAAGGCTGGGTTTAAAGAGACAGGAACTAAAACCGCTTTGAAAAGAGGTGCTGCAACAATGTACAGGATTCAAAAATTATTTTGAACTTTTAATCATGTAAATGTATTCTGGCAGATGACGAAAATAATATGGGCACTTTAATAACAGTCCCTCAGTTCGTAAAGAGAATCGAATTGCATTTACAATACTACACTTACATTAGAAGCCTAAGAATCGTCTAATGTAAGTGCATTACTGTCAACATGATTTTGACAAAGTGAGGAATGAATGCTAATTATTTTCTGTCATAACTGATGGGTTGTCACAAAAGTTTGAGCTGGATTAACTCAAAATATTCCTATGTGTAATGAATTATAATTATAAGAAGTCTGTTTACCTCACTGCCGGTGAAATGGCAGGGCAGTAAAGTCTCTCCGCTGTATCTAGCCGGCAGCTTTCCAAAATGATATTTAGCCAAATCGATGAGCTCATTATGTGACACTCCTGAAAGACGGAGAAACAGTGCTGGTTTATTAAAGGTCAAACTCTGAGCCAGTAACAGAGCTAACAGTTAAACCAAAGGACAAGACATGTACACGTTCAGTGATGCTGCTTTACCTCCGGCTGCAGCTAATACAATCCTCGGGCCCTTGTAGTGTGTTGTGATGTATTCCACCAGATCCCCTCGATTTATAGTTCTGCAGAATATCAAAACAGCACTGTTTTTCATGCACTGCACAATTTTGAGTTTTTTTTGGCTATTTTGCTTCCATAACATTCAGACTAAAGTGAAGCAAACATACAAAATGCACATTTAAGTGTTTATTTCATTACACTTTATCTATATGCATCTGTAGATTTCAGTTACAATACATATTTTTATTTCTATCTATATTTTGAAGGGTTTTGCAAAAGGGTTTGTTCGTATATAATTTGCCTGATTTATTTTATTCCTAAAAACGTGGTGAAATGTGACGCTGTCTGTGAAATCCAGGCTAAAGTCTCAAAATCTAATTATGAGATAACAAGCATCAAAGTTAAATTTCACTATGATTCCAATCTTTGACATGGCCTTACTCAGTCAATATTAAAGATATAAAGGTTATATTTTCACAGAATGTTCTACATCTTTATGAAGGATGATTTTATGTAGAAAACCGTAAATCTAAAAAAATGACTTTAGCTGGGTTTTCACAGGCAGGGTCACAAATTGTATTTTTTTCAGGCTGTTGACAGTATTTTCTGATTTATGGAGTGATTAAAAAAAAAAGAGAAATCCAAAATTGCATTGATAATTGAAAATGCATTTTCAACAATGAGCGGTAAGAAGCAGGGTTACTATCATCAACTAAAATCATTAAAACATTTGTTTTAGTTAAAGCACCAAAATGACTAACTGGAAATAAATCAAAAACTGAAACAGAAATAAATTAAACGTAATTCTTAATGTTTAAAAAATTAAAATGTGTTATGTAAAAAGAGTTGCTCTAATGAAACGGTTATTATCATTTACTAAAAATAGAACTATTTACATTTTTGTTAACTGAAAATTCGGAAATGAAAAACCTAAATGAAAATTAGAAATGTTGTATGGAACTGAAATAACTAGAAATAAATTTTAAAAATCTAATAAAAATAAATTAAATGTAAGCAGTAAATAAATTTTAAAAAAGCTAATAAAATGAACAAAAGCACAACATCCAACCTTTAATAACAACAAAATGACAAGCATTTTGAACCTGGCTTTGTTAGTGAAAAGTGTGTAAATTAGTGCATCTTTAATTAGCATCATTTGCATATTTAAAATAACATTACTGAAAACTTGTAAGCTAGTAATACAAAACAACTGTCCTAATGTACTGTGATTAATCATTTGTGACCCTGCACTAAAGCAGTGTTAAGTCGCTGGGGGATATTTGTAGCAATAGCCAAAAATACATTGTACGGGTCAAAATTATTGATTTTTCTTTTATGCCAAAAATCATTAGGATGTTAAGTAAAGATCATGTTCCATGAAGATATTTTGTAAATTTCCTACCGTAAATATATCAAAACTTACTTTAAACTTTAAAGATGATTTTCTCAATATTTCAATTTTTTTGCACCCTCAGATTCCAGATTTTCAAATAGTTGTATCTCGACCAAATATTGTCCGATCCTAACAAACCATACATCAATGGAAAGATTATTTATTCAGCCTTCAGATGAAGTATAAATCTCAATTTTCGACAAATTTGAGTTTTGTGGTCCAGGGTCACATTTATAATTTTTTTTAATCTCTGGTGTCTTAAACTGAGGACAGCTGGACTGTAAACGAGTGACACGTACTTGATGTTCTCCGTAGGCCCCAGGATGGTTCTCCCGAGAGGTGTTTCCTGATAGGCTGTAGCGTGCAGGTAATCGAAGACCACTTCCTGCAGGTTGGTCTCCACTTCCTGCATCTCTCGGAGAATGACGCCACGCTCGCGCTCGATCTCGGCCTCTCCCAGCGTGCTGTTCTGAATGATGTCTGCCAGGATTTCCACCGCTGCCAACAGAGACGCATTTACAGCACGCCCATAATGCCGTTCTGCCCGTCATGATGAGTTTGCGTTTGATGGTTTACCTCTGGGCAGATCTTTGGAGAAAGCTTTAGCGTAGTACACCGTCTGCTCTCTGGAGGTGTACGCGTTCAGGTGAGCTCCCATGTTCTCGATCTCCAGCTCCAGGTCCAGCTGCGACCTCTTCCTGGTGCCCTGAAACACAGCAACCGATTTGATGCTTTCTAGACTGAATTGTTTTAGTATTCAGACACATTTCTTATCATTTCTCGTACCTTGAATGCCATGTGCTCCAGGAAGTGGGCTGTACCATTATTGTGCTCATTTTCATATCGGCTTCCAGCATCAATCCACAGACCAACCTGGATCATGTGATCAGGATAGGGCAAATTTAGGAAAATTGGGCCATTTTTGTCTGTCATCTCAATGGAAAAGGTGTAGTTTACTTGATTTCTCCGTATTTAGATTTTTTAGGGTAAATTCTGTGATCATTTACTTCCTCTCACAGAATTTTTCCCCCCAATTCTACTTTATGCCTTTTCTGTTATTATTATTATTACTAATTTTTCATTATTATTATCATTATTAGTACATTTTTATATTGACTATTTATATATTTAATGCACGGTCTAAGTAGCTAACAAGGTTTACATTTCACTGCAAGTTGTTTTCTGTAATAAAACAATCCACAGACCAACCTGGATCATGTGATCAGGATAGGGCAAATTTAGGAAAATTGGGCCATTTTTGTCTGTCATCTCAATGGAAAAGGTGTAGTTTACTTGATTTCTCCGTATTTAGATTTTTTAGGGTAAATTCTGTGATCATTTACTTCCTCTCACAGAATTTTTCCCCCCAATTCTACTTTATGCCTTTTCTGTTATTATTATTATTACTAATTTTTCATTATTATTATTAGTACATTTTTATATTGACTATTTATATATTTAATGCACGGTCTAAGTAGCTAACAAGGTTTACATTTCACCGCAAGTTGTTTTCTGTAATAAAAATATTTAAATCTCTTTTAAGTGTATCTACTATCGTTTCAGGTATCATTTTTGATACAAATGCTCTAATGAAAATGCCTTTTCAACAAGGTTTAAAACTATTAAAATATTTTGTTAATTTAAAAAGGCTGAAATAAAATACAATAAAATTAAATGAAAAGTAAAGGGAAAATAGAAATGTTGTCTTGGCAACTAAGTTTGAGTTAAAACAACAAAATGACTAACTAACTGGAAATAAATTAAAACTAAAAATGAAATAATAAAAATAAATGTAGCATAAATAGAATTTAAAAAAAAAAATCAATTACTACAAAAATAACAAATAAAAATATAAAAATAAAAGCCAATTCAAAATACTGATTAACTATAATAGGATATAAATAATACTAAAATGCTACAGGGAAGAAGGTGAAAGTTCATTGTTGATTGTCCATTATACATTGCATATCACATTTTGATACAAAGAGCTTGTAAAAATGTCTAATTACATTTTATTGGGTTATGCTGCAATGTTGTGTTATCTTAACTCTAATTTCACATATATTTGAACACATACAGACACCGTATACTTGTTTGTTGTTATTAATTTGCACTTCGTTTGTCACAAAAAGATAATTAAAACACACTTGGTGTATTAAGATGTGACTGCTGTGACATGCAATAAAAAATGCCTTTTCCTCATGAAATAAACCTCATCCTCTTTGGGTCTGTCTTGTTCTTATCACAATTTCAGACATGGGCGTGTGGGAACCTCCCACAAAAACAAGTCATAAGGAGACACTCCCTCAACCCCTTTTTTAAGAAACACCCTAATAAATTTGTCACCCTAATTTTAATGTTGGATCATCAGATTCCTCAGCCACCTGAGCTGATGCTGAACTCACCGTGCATGTGGTCAGACCAGAGTCTTCAGATGCCACCCTGAGCCCGTTATCAAGGGTCGTGACCTTCGTCTCAGGTACATTTAAATCCACCTGACTGACAGCCTGAGTCGATCTGGTCTGAAATACAGACAACACGCCTTAAATCATGCGATATAACCATGATTCACTCAGCAGGATATAAAAGGTAAATATCAAAACGGTTTCGAGTAATAATAAATTAAATGTTTTCGTATTATGATGTGCGTTTGCATCACTTGAGACCAGCAGCCACGCCAGTCTCAACCCGACTGTTTTAAATGATTGCCAAGACTTTGTTTTCGATATTTTGGCAGTTCTAAATGATATTAATCATGTGTTTGTAATCTCTCACCCTGTTAAAGGTTCTTGTGTTCAATAAATTCTTTATAAAGTGTCTCCCTGCTGCGCCGAAACGCTGTACGGACGCCGCCATGCTGTTTGGGTGACGCTGTCACGGAGACGCGTTCCGATTGGACAGAAGAACGCTTACGTCATGCAACGTGCTTCCGGCACAGACTAATAATTATTCCCTTTTTTGTGTGGATAATTTGGGTCACATGGAGAATTGGTTTCAGCACATCCACCGCTTGATCTTCTCATTTTTACGCCGTCTTGTGGCGAAATGTCAAACTACATGATTCAACTCACTTGTATGACCAGCAGACGCCAGCTCTGAGTCAAAGTGAAAAACACATACACCAAATTTGTATTTGTGAGACATTTATTCGATGTTTTTGCAAACATGCAGTGTGGCATGATTGATCTAAAATTATTACTTAATATTTTAATTTAAAAATACATGGAATATTTGCCAGACATATTTAGAAACCCTAGTGAACAGTCATTATTGGATGTAAATAATACTGAAACAAGATAAGTTCACTTATACGACCACCACATGGCAGCTCCGAGTAAGTTAAAGATACTCATACACCATTTATTTATTTATTATTTGAGACATTTATACAAATGGTAATTGCATTTTTTTAAAGTAATTTGTATAGTGATTTATTATCTTTAATGATATAAGCTTATATAATGTTGCCTTGGCAATTAAGTAAGTTTAAGGTAAAAGACCAAAGTATGTATGTATTTGTGCTGTGATCAACTGTGACTTATTGATGAGACTCCAGTGGGCGTGACACAATATTATATATTATTACAATAAGCACTATTATAAGTAATCTATAAGGTACTATTTAAGTTGCATTGATATATATTCATTATAAAACACTATTATAACAGTTTATTTTATTCTGATATATTTATTTTAATGTCATCTCACACGTGGATCTGCATTCAAACGTTGTCCTTGTTGTTTTATTTATTTTTTCAACAGGACGTTTTCTATAGTGTATTTCTATAATAAAAATGATATTATGTCTTATGACCACCAGATGGCAGCTCTGAATAAAAGTAAAAACAAATGCACGTGGTATAAACTTCACTCATAATCATTGAAAATGTTCCATTATACTTTGCCTATTACAGTCGTTATTGTTGTATATATTTTCATGTTTTTATGACTACTGCTTTTGTATCATGTTTATGTAACGCACTTTGAATTCCCTTTGTGTATGAAATGTGCTATATAAGTAAACTTGCCTTGCATGTCTTTTCTAAACTGCTTGAATATGTTTTGTACTTTTAATAAAAGTTATATAATCAAAAATGTGTATGGCTCTGCTGGAAATTACTATGAATTTTCAATCTAATTTTCATGTCTGAATGATGCTACTGTGTGAAAGTAGTTTGTCACTTGTAATAAACACTTTAAATTGGAAGACAAGTATTTTCTCAAAGCATTAATAGACGGTTTAGTTTAGTAATATTTTGGGTGTTTGTGTTTATAACAGACATAGAGTTCACCTGTGTCTCAAATCATAAACAGAGTGACAATGAACATCATATGCTAAATAAATAAGCTGTTAGTCTCAATAAACATTCTGCAAAACTAAGCTGGGTTAGTTGATGCCAGGATGTATGTGGTAGTTTTCGATTAAAAACTCACTATCTGAACAATCAATTTGCACTTGTGAAGTTCAGCGTCTCTTGTGGTCTTGGAGGTTTTCTAGGGTTGAAATGTTCAACTGCCTGTCCTCTGCCATGTGTTCTTGTAGCTCATCTGATCAAGGCCATGAGTTCAAATCACATGCAAGCAAAATGAACAAACATTAGATCTCAAGAGTATGTGCTCTAGACTTGTCAATGACCTCTGCTGACTGGTTGCCAAAGGCTTGTTCATAGCAGAAAAACACTTCAAAAGAAAGACAGAACTCTAAATTCAAAGAATCCCCAGTAGCTCAGCAGTCGGAGCGTTGCGCCTTCATGTGGGAACCCGGGTTCAAATCTCACTCCTGCAAAGATTTAACTTTAATTTTTGACCAATTATAAAAGACAACACTCCAAAAAAAAGCATAATAAGTGTGAAAGTGCCAGTGGCTCAGTGGTAAGAGCATGTTCTACCTGAACGGAAGGATGCTTGTTCAAATCCGGCCTAGACACGGTAAAAGGGCAGAAATGGACACCTGATTGTGAGCTGCAAAGAGAGGAACAATGGTGGAGATGGCAGGACAGGAAGAGGACAGGCCTTAGCAGTAGAGAAGTGGACTGTGAAAGCACAGAAAGAGAAAAGCACCCTCAGAATGACCAGCAGTGATTATGCATCAAATGTATCATTTTTTTAATTCCTTCTTCTCAATCCTCTGTGTCTCGCTCATCTGGGTAACTCCCACTCCTCTGCTGTTTTTCTTCCACTGGGACTGGATGCTCCTCGGTCTCACCTGATCTTCCGGAGACCTGCTTCAGCATCTCAGCCGGGATTCGAACCATGGCCCTCCACATGGAAGGCCATGACCTTACCACAGAGCCATTGGCACATTCACATCAACCCTTCTTTTTTGGGGGGGCATATCTTCTTTGATTCTAGTGGTGGTTTAAAAAAAACACGGACTGGCTGAAAGAAATTCCTGAACGGCCTGGGATTGGATCCGGGCTACTCCAAAAAGAAGGATACTGGAACACACGGATATGGATGAACCTTTTTGAACAAAAGATCTTCATCTCCTGAGCCACTGGATCCTTAACATGAAGGAGTGGATGAAGACTGATCCCTGTAACAAGCTCCAGAAAAGAGTCGAGACGAGTGAGAGGGATTAATATTGCTTAACAAACCTCACCAGTTTGTTTCAGCTTGGCAATTACTAATAACTTTGTTACATCTAGTCTGTGATTGTGTGAAATGTGTGGATGCAAAGCTTAAGCACTCTGTGGCTACAGTTCACTCACTAACCTTCTAAAAATATTTTTGTCACCACATGGTCATCATTGTATTTAACACAGAGACATACATTTCACTTGTCAATTTATTTTGAACACACAAATGCATACAATCAACAGTTCTGAAGCATTTCTGACAAAGTGTTGACAATCTTTTAAATGCTAATGATCACAGCAGAATGTCAGTAAACACATGGCAAAGAACATGAGAAAACTAGATACAAATACATGTATAAGAGACTTCGGGTACATGTTAAGAAGTTTACTTTTTATTCAGACGTGACAAGTGTCAATGGAGATTATAACATCAACTAACACTTTACAGCAGTATTACAAAAGTTATTTATTTTCTTGCATTATGGATACAAAACAATCATGCAATTATACTTTTGGTATAGGTACAATCATGTCGGCATTTACTGCCATTCAACCTTGAGTGTACATTTAAGGAATGAAACTAAATGAAATGAAAAATTAGTCTTGGACCCAAGGTGTGTTTACACTGACGATTGGATCCATAAACAATTAATACAACAATGCATAATACATAAAACACTCCCTAAAAAATACAAATCCCTATGCCTACCCTTGCATTAATAAAATAACATTTATTTGTTGTGTAACATTTTGAGTTAGGCATAAAACATTTTTTTTAATTATTGTACATTCCTACTGATAACCTGTACTAGGGATGTCAAAAAAAATTAGAATTTCGAATATTCATTGAATTTAAAATAAAAATCCTCATTCGAATGCAAAAACGTTAGAAGGACCATAGTTTCAGCTAATGAAGATTTGTTTATTCACTTTATATGCTTTAGACATGTAAAACATCCATGTTTCACATCATTATTGGGTGCCTTAATAATATAACGGAGTATTGCCTGATTATGTAAACAAACCAGTGAATTGAACAGGTTCATTGAAACATACTGCCCAAAAGAACCAGCTCACGGAAAATAATCAGATTTCCTCGTGTGTCTGAGGCTCTGGATTACAGGTAATAATGTTGTAAATAATGTTCAATTTCTTCCACAGACTGATAATTTCATAATAGCTACGGGTATTCATTTTGTGTTGCCCGTATGTTATGTATGTTACCCATTGACGTGCATTTTATGAATCACCAAGAGCCACGCTTTCAACTAAAAGTCCCTTTACTGTCCTACTGAAGAAGAAGAAAAAACAAAAGTCACCTACATCTTGGATGTCCTGAGGGTGAGTCAATTAACAGCAAATTTTCATTTTGGGTGAATTATCCCTTTAATAAGATTTCCCCAAGAAATAGGCGAGAATGAACATGGTGTCCTCTATAAGATTCCTACTCTTTCTGACAATAAAACACTTGAACATGACAAACTCATAATTACGACTTCAGAAGTGGAAAGTAGGACATTTGTGATAGCATGTGAAGGCAGCATAAGTAACAATATTCTACAAACCTTGCCACCTCTGAAAAACACACTGACGGATCAGTATTTTCATAGAAAAGCGGAGTTATCTGAGAATTTTACTATGAAGTTATTAGGATCAATCATTAGTATACAACGTAAAAAGGATAAAGTACAATTAATTTGTTAATCTGTTAGCTAAATTAGTTAAAGCCAGTTTAGTTAGTGATTAAAAAGGTGGTTTACACTTTGTCTTCAGTTTATGAATGAGAAAGTGGGGCTTAACTGTGTTAAAAGCTTAACTAAAATCAACAAACAACAGATGTGCATAGGCCTAACACTAATATTTAAAACATTAGTGAAAGTGTTAACAGCATCTTCTGTACTACAGCCCTGCCTAAAAGCAAACTGTAATGGGTCAAGCACTGAGTTTACGTCTGTCTTTAAATAGACACCATACCTCTCAAAACATTTCATTACACAAGATGTCAAAACTTCTGGCCTATAGTCAGTGTTCAATGTATTCATATAATAGTCATAGCTTTTATAGTGTGCCATTATTTTTTATTATTGGTAGAGACAAAATTCTGTCTGAAGATCTCTTTCTGTCTTTTGCATTCGTCTTACAAGTCCAGTTACTAATTTTATATAAAACTAATTAACTTTTAGGCATTACAGTGCATACAGAATATGAAATTAAGTCTAGCATAAAACAGTATATGGGTCAAAGATAAAAAGGGTTTTTTAAGCATCAAAACAATAAAAGTTTAATAAAGCTTAGAATGTGCACTGTTTAATTGTATTTTTTTCTGAGCAAAAAATAATGACTATCACACATTTTTAACATGTTTTACAGATGACACCCACTAAAAAGAAATTCAGTCTAACTATAGTTTAAACACCAAAAAAATCTTGTCTGGCATATTTAGTACAAAAATCATTATATGACATTAAAAGACTATTTAATAATCACAGTTCAGCCCTCAAAAATAATTAATTGTAATTTTAACTTTACCACTATCCTTCAAACCAAAAAAAAAAAGTATAAAATATAATACATTTAGTATGATTACTTCTTGTATATATTTTAATCAGTACAGCTCAGAATAAGTATGTGGTTTAATTTATATAAATAGATCTGTTACTTTGAATGACCATGGACATTATTTCACCCCTATTTTGACATTTTATTTTGACAGAAGTTATTTGAAACCTTAAAGTAGACACTTTACTTGAATTTATATATATGCTT